AGGGAGTCCGGGGTGGGCAGGCAGGAGGGCTGGATGGTGTCGCTGAACTCGACCGGCTCCGCCAGCTTCAACAGGGCGATGTCGTTGCTGCAAGAGGAACAGCGGCGTTGAGGGGGGGATGACAGGTGCGGACCCTGGGAAGGAGAGGGTGAAGCCCACCATCTTATCTGGGCCTCCCCCTCCTCCCCCAGCCCTCCAGGGAGACTCGCAGGATGTGCACATTGTCCCACTCCTCGTGGATGATGACCTTCTCCACCGCCACGGCCACCTCACCGGCCTCGGCCACTTTCAGGTTCTGCTTGCCCAGCCACACCCGGTAGGTCTGCGTGGGGCTGGGGGGGTGGAGAAAAGGGGGGAAATGAGGTTGGGTGAGGGAGGGTCTCTTCACCTTTGCCCCTCTTCATATTTGTCCTTCCTAAGTTTTGCCTTCTGGGGAGGGGGGGTCTCCGGCCCCTTCCCTGCTTCTCCCCTTGGATGTCTCCAGAGTCGAGTCTCTTCCGCAGCAGAAAAAGCCTTTCTCTCCAAAGTCCCTTCGCTTGGCAGGGGGTCTCCCTTCCTCCTCCCCCCCCGGAAATCCCCCCCCTTCACGCTCTTGTCAGCCGCTGAGGAAACGTTGGCCGCCTCCTCGGTGGAGCTTCCTAGGTGCTTCCAGAGGTGCCTCAGGTGTGAAGAGTGACGCCTTGACTTGCCTGCCATCCAGCTTGGTTCATAAGGGGGGGGGGGGGAGCCCTTCTCCAAACTCTCCCTCCCTTCCAGCCCCCCAGAGCAGGAACTGGCTTTACCTGAGGCAGTGAGCAGCCGTCAACACCCAGTTCGCGTCAAGGAGGGTCCCGCCACACGAGTGCAACCAGCCCCCGTTCACTTCCACTTGGAGGGAGACCTGAAATGGACCCCCCCCCCAAAGAGCTCACTTGCAGGACCCCGTTAGGCCCAACGGCTCCCTTCAAAGCCTCCGAAATCCCACTTCCCTCCGGCCTGGATGTGGCTCTGCCTCTCAAACCGCTGATACTGCAGATGAGAACCCCCCCCCTTTATGGATGCTCCCCCCCCCCGAGCCTCACAAAGAGCTCCTGTCCCCCTTCCAGTGGCAAGGAATCCCACGGGCGTGAAGCCAGCCATGCTTCTGCCCTTCCAGACTGCGGCAAGCAAGCACTCCCAGACTCCCTTACCTGCCAGGGCCAGCTGTGGGGCCGGGCATCTTTGCCCCCAACCACACGGGAAATGTTGGGCACGTAGGTGGGACGGCCACAGCCGTAGGCTGAGAAAAGCACAGAGGAGGAGAGGGAAGGAAGGAAAGGAGGCCACTCAGCAATCGATGTCAATAACACAAGAGCCCTCTCGACGGCTTTCTTCTAAAGCTCTAAACAGGGGAAACCGAGGCACTTCCAAGGGGGAGAAATCACCTTTCCTTTTGAAGGTGCATCGGTGCAGGCAGGATGGACCAGCTTCTCTTTGCTTTAAACAGGCAGGGAAACTGACTGGTNGAACATGATGGCAGCCACTGAAGTGGCCTCTGGGGAGCCTCGCCCGTATTTATAGCCGGCTGCAGCCGAGCATCCTTGGAGCCCCGACCAGGTGCTGTCGCCAGGCGCCTCTGACCTTGCCAGGTTATCTGTTGCTGGGCCGATAAAGGAGGGAGGCGGCCCCTTGGCAGAGGGCCCCGTCCTCGTCTACTCACCAGGTGGGGGTCCAGGCGGCCTTTGGGGTGCCTGCGAGAGGCAGAGCGGCTCTTCCTGCGTCCCCAAAAATCATCCTTGGCCGTCAGAGGCCCCCTCCCACACCCCCACCTGGTGTGGCTGTGGGTGCCCAGAGAGGGCCCACACGGCCTTTGCCTGCAGCCCCTGGAACTGGGAGGCAGATGGGGGCCAGCAATGCCAGGTCCTCTGTGTGTGTGTGTGTGTGTGTGTGTGTCAAGGGCAGCTCCTGGCCTCTCTGGGTACGGCTGGAGGCCCTCTGGGGCTTGGTGGGGGCCCCAGTGGGGGCCTTCAGCCGTGGGAGAACCAGCAGCTGCCTCACCCAGCCTGGCACGGCCAGTGGAAACCTCCCGCCCCTCCTCACCTGCCCGCTTCCCACGGGGAAACCGGAGGCCTTTGGAAAAGGGAGCCCCCCCAATGGCTGGTGGGATAAACCACAATCGGAGCCCCACTCCAGGCCCACAGCCACCGAGGACCATGTCTTTGCAGCCCCCTGGGCTCTGCCAGTCTCCAACCACATAAATAGGATGGGGGGGTTGATTCAGGCCACCTCAGCAAGACCTGCCCTCCATCCTGGGGAGGCTAAGCGATGCCAGCTGGCCTTCTTGGGGGGACGACCTGCTGCCTCCACTTGGTGTGGGGTCTGAATCCGACTGCCCGTCCCACCCTCCTCCTCTGGAGCAGACTGGGGAGGTTGCTCGAGTCAGTCAGCCCAGCCGCAGGAAGGGCACAGAGGCATCAACCGCACTTCCTGATTGAATCCCCCCCCCCCCGGCCACACGAGAGAGAGAGAGAGAGAGAGAGAGAATCCGGATGCCACAATCAGCTTATGAAATATAGTTTTGCTTTAATTATATTTGGGTAAAAAAAATAAAACCATACCAGTGAAATGGAGCAGCTTCTGGAGTCCCAGGGCAGGCCGAGCGCAAAGCCCCCACGGCCCCAGGGGCCCCCGGAGGTCCCTGAACCCCCAAAGCACAAATTCAGCCCAGAAGCAAGCAAGCACGGAGGGGGGGGAGCAAAGCCAGGGGGGCCAGGGGGGCCTTGACTGTGGCTTGTTGAAGAAGCCAGCATCCGAGTGGCCCACGCCTCCCACCCACTTCACGCTCCGGCTCAGAGGCTGCCCTCAAGGCCCCTTCCGGTGGGCTTTGGGGTTGCTGGTCTTTTGCCATCCACGCCTGAGCTCCCACAGCTGGCTAAGGGGCCCACCTAGGAAGGAGACCCCCTTGTGGGCAAGTAGCCCCCATCTGGGGCAGTGGAAAAGGACCTGCCCCAGTGGGAATGACTTCCTCGGCTGGGGGTTGGATTAGATGACCTCTAGGAGCCAATCGCTCTGGGGGATTTTGACACAGTCCCAGCGCTCCCCCCCCTGACCGGTGGAGCTCCCGTTGACTGCTTCAAACGGCTGCCCCCCACACCCAGGACTCCTCCTGCCCCAAATCTCCCCTCTTCTCCTGATCCTGCCACCAGAACACTTCTACACAACAACACAACGCCAGAACTTGGGGCTTATTGTCTGGACATAAACACACACACACAGACGCACACAGAAACAGACACACTATAAACTGACCCTGTCCTGCAGACGTGCCAGACTCCAGCTCCCATCATCCCCTGCCTGCCAGAGAACGTTCTGCCGAGTCTCCGAAGCCAGGCAGAGAGGCAGAGAGACGGGGGCCCTCAGGGGAAGGAGACCCCCCCCCAGCGCTCCCACCTGCCGGGCCCACCGCCTGGCCACTTGTCCGGAGCCCCCCGGCCCCTGTGGGGGCCCACTCTGGGGAAAGCACAGCCCGAGCCCATCTATACAGCCGAGGCCACACACACAAAGACGGCATTTCTGCACAAGCAGCAGGGGTGGGTGAGGAGACCCCCACCCCGCCTCTAACAGCAAGCCACATCCATGCATCGCCTCCCCAGGGGGGGAACGGGACGATTCACACATCGAGTCCGTAAACCTGAGACCGGGAGACACCGAGAAGCACGAGACCGACGGACGGAGACGGAAACGCCGCAAAGGGAACACCGAACGGCTGGCTGGAGGGGGGGGTGCAGAGCAGGCCCAAGGGAGTCTGGGGGCTCCAAGGTCGGCCTTCTTCCCCCGGCGGTTCGCCCACCGACCACGCTGGGTCGCCAGGTGACCGGGGCCCCTCCGGCTCCTGCGCCTCTAGCGGTCACCTGACCCGCAAACAAGGGCCGGGGGGGGGCTTGTGGCGAGGGGGGGGGGGGGGCGTGGGGGCGGGGGGGCCGGCGGGGGGGGTGGGGGGGGCGGCTA